ATTTTATGACCCCGCCACCGCCACCGTCACAGATGACCCCTCCTGGAGGCTATTATGGGTCTATGTTTGCAGACCCGACTTGGGGTTCATATGCTGGATATTTGGCGGGTTCAGCCTCATCACCCATGGCCGCAACACAGACACCGCCTCCTATACAGTTTTCACACTCAGCGATGTCTGGGTTTTATGAGTTTTCCCAGTTTTCGTAGGCCGGTGGGATGGTCAGTCATACACCTCCAGGGTCCTTATTCTACGGAGGTGTTTCATCGTCATCAGCTCCTCATGTACTTGCGCAAGACGACGACGACGATGACGGTGATGATGATGACAGCGAGGAGTCAGAACCAGTGATACGAAGAAATCCTCCTCGAGACCGACAGCCACCGCCCATGTGGAACACATTCGCGTCGCAAGCATCGATATATTTTGTTTTTTTTATTATATTTGTATTTACTTTATTTTGTTAAATTGTAATTTTTTTTATTTCTCATTTAATACTTACTTTATTTTGTTAAATTTGTTGGACTTTTTAATGTATTTTAGTTCATTTTTTTATTACCATTTAATATCAGTTATTGTAATTTGGTTATCATTTATCATTTAATACTTATTGTTATTAGTTTGTTAAAATTTAATGATTGTGTTTGTTTTTTTAATCTTCATCGGTGATTATCAAATGACATTAACTTGAAGTAAATGCAAATTAAAGTAGAAGAATTATTATTTGACAATAAAATACATCATTTCCTCATCAATTGTTACTTGATGACAACAGAAGTGGACATGTTTTTCTAGTGTGTCCTGGGTTTCTACAAGGCCTACATCTTCTGTCTTGTCTAAATCTTTCTCTAATATCCATATCACAATGAATTTGATTGGATTTTTGGACGACCACGCTCCCTCAATAAACTCGGATTTGGTACAATCGGAAGCCAATCTTGAACCTCATCAGGGTCTTTGTCATTACCTATAGGGGGAAACTAAAATTCGTATACCTTAAAAACTTCATATAGTAGGTATACGGGATCCACAAAATGGTTATAGTCTTGACGTGTATGCGAGCAAGCTGCTATCACATGAGAGCATGGATACTTTAGAGCTTGAAAAAACCCGCAGTCGCACGTTCTGTCCCTTAGATTTACTCTTAACGACACAGCTTCAATCCCTTGAAGAGGTCGCGGCAACTCTGTGACACGAAACATTTCATGCCTTCTAGAGAAGCTTGTTACAGACATTCCATTTGATGTAGTAATTTTTTTCTGTAGATCTGCAACTAATTTAGGGTGATAGACATGATCGCCTTGCATCCAGGTTTGAGCTTGTCCCCCGAGCTTCGCAAAAAGCGCCCCCAAACAAAAATATATAGTCTTTACCAAAGCCGCTACTGGTAAGTGACGTGCACCCTTTAAGGTTGAATTGATTGCCTCTGCCAAGTTGGTCGTCATGTGTCCATATCGATATCCACCATCATATGCGTTCGTCCAAATTTCTTTATCGATGAGGCTGATGTAATCATATCCTTCCTCGTTCTTCGCCCGCAACTCTTGAAACATTGATTCAAATGTTCGAGGAAGTAGTTCGTAACCTGATCAAAAATTGTATAACTTACTAACTTGCTGTCTTTGCAAAATTAAAACGATCGAAAGAAAACAAACTTGCTAAGTTTCACTTACCCATGCGCACAATTAATTGACGCTCATCATTCTTCTTGTACCTTCCATGGTAGTTCGCGGCAATGTGTCGAAGACAATACCTATGTTGGAAAAAGGGTGGTTGCCACATTGGACCCAAAGACTCCATTGCTGCTTTGATCCCAGCTCCGCGATCTGAAATGACACAGATGTTTTCCCTCGTGATAACATGTGCCCGTAAATTACGGAGGAAAAAAGCCCAAGAAGCTGTATCTTCTCCTTCGACAAGAGCAAAAGTAACTGGAAGAATGTTGCGATTGCCATCTTGGACAACTGCCAATAATAAAACTTGCTTGTATTTGCCATACAAGAAAGTCCCGTCGATCTGGACCACAGGCTTGCAGTATTTGACAGCATTAACGCACTGTGGGTAACTCCAAAAAACCCGGTAGAATTGGCATCGATCGCGAAGAACTCGATCATTATGGTATGCATAGGAGGTTTCGAAGTCCACAATTATCCCAGGATTCAACGTTCGCACCAGCCTAAACCAACCTGGAAGTTCGTTGTAAGATGCATCTCATTCGCCATGAAGTTTGACAATGGCATTTTGTTTTGCCAACCAAGTTTTTTATAGGAGACAGTGTACCCATACTGCGATTGTATAGCTGAAATCAACACTGCAACAGCTATATGAGAGCTTACTTTGACCATGGGCATGATGGCTTGGCATATCACTTCAGAGTCCAAGTTGTGATGATCTTGGTTGACCCCTCCAGCACAACATGTGTGAGGACCGTTGTATACTGTTAGTTCCCATCTGTTGTTTTTCCTCTTCCTCTTCGATACGCGAACCATCCAATTGCATCCGTTCAGTAGCATACATATTTTTTGGTCGTGGAGCGGTCTACTCTGGACTGAACAGAATTACGGATATTATAATTTTTGATAGCCATCATCGCTTCTTCTTTGCTTGAAAACTCCATACTTAAAGATAATTCACCATTAGTTATTGATGAGTAATACCCATAGTCACCGAGATGAGGCATATCCGCAAATTCTGGCCCGTACATTGCACCATAATCAGCTTCATACATGTGTGCAGGAGGGTCAGTTTGTGCCACATTTCCTGGAACTTCATGATCATCGGAGTTGAATTGCGGTGATTCTGGGTCAATGAATAGTCCAGTCTCAGCACCATCCGCACCAGGCTCACGAAGCGATTCTTCTGGTGGAGATGATGGTTCCTCCATGCTCTCCACATTTAGGTTGAAGAACCTACTACTTGCACTCCTTCCCCTTGAACTGGAAGGTATATCGACATTGAGATCGAAAAAGCTCGCAGTCGAATGCCTCCCCCTAGAGCTTGAAGCCATCGCGTTAAATGGAAACTGCACAGATGGTTGCGTCGATGGCATCTCCATATTAAGGTCAAAGGGATTTGCAGATGAATGCCTTCCCCTTGAACTGGACGCGATGTTGCCATACGGATTATTCGTGAACCTACCTCGGTACATATTGTAAGGAGTTGCGGATGAATGTCTCCCCATTATGGCATTAAAATCATTACACATTACTGTCGTCGGGCTGTCAACTTGATCAACTTGTTCAATCAGCCCATAGTGGGAGCTTAATGATTGACCCCGAACAGCACGCACTTGAACAAAATGTGCATACATCTCAATAGCGGCGTCTGAATAATTACTTTGAGCTTCAACCATCATTTCAACATCATCATTGTTCGAAAGTTCAAACGTTGTATAAGTTAATGGCAACAATGATGTTGGAAATCTATACTGCAACGACGACACTCTTCTACTACTTCCATCATGAATCTTCCTCGAAATCTTTGTTATCAGCTCCTCAAGAGTTATGTTTCTCTTGAATGATATTTTAACACGCTCATTTGATACGAAAACAATGCCGGTTTCATCTTCTCGAATTTCACCATCATAATAAACAATAACTGAAAGTCGCGCCATTATTTGAGTTTAAAAGTGTGGCACTATTAAATCTGCAAAAAAAAAAATAAATGAAACAAACCTGATTTAATAAATTATATATGAACGAACATATAACACAATAAAATTTTTACACATCAACGTAAATAAATTAAATAATATAATTTAATATTATTACCTGTACCGCAAAACTATTTCGACGTATGCTCCCGCTTTCCAATTTTACTAACACAAAAATTAATTGAAAATAATTAGTATAATATTTTTTTTTCAAATAATCATAATAAACAATAAATATAATAAAAAATTATAACAAAATTACATTATAATGAAAAATCGCACGAACTTCTAAATAAAATATGAGACGATTGCCAGAATTATTGACTCGTTGATGGAATTATTGTATTAATTTATAAGTTGAGAGGAGAGATGTGAGAAATTGACCGGCGGAGAATGTTATTTATAGCGAAAAAAATTATACAAAACGCGGTACCTGATCCGCGCTATATAAAATTATGTCAGAGTAAAGGTATGTCGCGGTACATGCCCCGCGTTATATAAAATTATGTCGGGAGTAAAGGTATAGCGCGGTTCCTGATCCGCGCTATACCCCTACGTGGCGTATAGCGCGCTGCAGGGGCCGCGCTATACTCACGTGGCGCCAGCTCACCGTATAGCGCGGTTCAGAGGGCGCGCTATATCACTCGTGGCGTCAAATCATCGTATAACGCGGTGCAGGAGGCGCGCTTTACTGCTAAGGGTGTTAAATCGGGAAATATAGTCTAACCGGTATTAAATCGATAATATTACCGATCATCGATGATATATCAAAAAAATCACCGAGAAAATATTATTTAAATATATTAAATATAACTAAAAACTAATAAAATCAACCAACAATCAATTAATTAAAGAAAATAAAAATGACTGGAAGCGGTTGGAGGAACCATCGTCTACACCTGCGATAAAAAGCTTACGATAACTGCCAAGAAGTTTTGTAAATGCAGTTTGTAACTGCAGCAGAGAAATCCAATTTCCTTTTAAAATTATAAAATTATAAATATATTATATCGAAGAATATAGAATTGAACATATTTAAAATTATAGACTAAATTTATTTACGACAATAAAATTGATTAAAAAAACAAACGCAAAATACATAAATAGAGAAAGAAAACTTGATAAATATAACAAACACTAGGACAGTACTCCAAATGTGTACAGTACCACGTGGAAAATATTTCCTATGTCACCGCCTGCCAACGTGTCGCCTCGCAAAACCGTAATTCCTGGTCCCACATCAACCCCAATCAGACGGCCAATATTCCATCAGGAAATCTTCCGCGGTTCATTTTTCCTATATAAATACCTTCCACCACTTTTAATATTCAATCTCCTTCACTTCTTCCAAAATTGTTAGTACTATTTTCTCTCATCATTTTCCCGAGAAAAAGGTCAGTTTTCTTTTTCAAGCAAATGGCAAATCTAATTTTCTCTCTTAAAACAGCGCTGATATCAACCGGAATCATATCGTTAGCGGTTTTGTTTAAAGTCTCAGCTCCGTTTGTGAATGAGTTTGTAACGTGTGGTATTCCTTCAACTTACGGTTTATTGCTTTCTTTTCTTCGGCCTCCGTACCTTTACCTTCTTATCAACTGCATCATCATCTGCATCGTCGCATCTTCCAAGTTCCAGGTGCAGAAGCCTGAGTCTACTCAACTCAATCCTTTGCCGGAAATAGTTTCTCCGACGTTCAAGGTTTCGAGTGAAGTGTTTAGTAACGAGTTCAGCTATGGAACCGCTGCAGCAAGAGGCGAGGTGGAGGAAGCTTTGAAGATGGCGGAAGAGAGTAAGCGAACGGTTGAGGAGGAGCAGTTTAAGGTGGTGGTGGCGGAGGCGGCGCCAATGAGGAGTGAGTCTATAGAGCTTGTGAGTTTGTTGGAGGGGAGATCGGCGGAGAAGCCGCCGCTGTCGAAGAGATTCGGTCAGCGGAAAGCTGTGAAAACGGCGGCTGAAGGTAAACCACTAAAAATCTTAAATCTCTCAATCTTCTATAGCATGAGCTTTCAAAATCAAACGATAAAGCACGTACGTGAAAAGCCAAAATTATCAGACAAAGTATAAATGCTTTTCCAAAAGCTTAATGTAATTTGATTTTTTAAAAAAAAGAAGTGCAAATTTTCTGTTTCACTATGAATCTGTAAGGACAGAACAGTAAAGTTGATGATCGTTCAAATTTTATGCAGGTTATGCTTTGAGAGTGGCGAAGCCAAAACGGCACGATACATTGGAGGCGACGTGGAAGACGATAACGGAGGGCCGTCCGATGCCGTTAATACGTCACCTGAAGAAATTCGACACGTGGGAACAACGTGCTCAAAAGGACCTCGATACCCCTCCCCCTCCTCTCCCCAACGCCATGAAGAAATCCGATACCTTCAACGAACGCACCAAGGAATCATCACTGACTCGATCTTCTGGATCGAGCAAACTCAAGAGAGACCCATCGCTGAGTCAAGACGAGTTGAACCGCCGAGTGGAATCGTTCATTAAGAAGTTCAACGAGGAAATGAGGTTGCAGAGGCAGGAGTCTCTGATTCAGTATCAGGAAATGCTTAGAAGAGGGGCAGAGTAGAGAATTCAGTACTTAAAAAGTAAAATTACCTTTTTTTCAGTGAGTTAAATAACGCCTGCTTCATATAATTTTTTTCCTTCATTGGAATTCCATGATTTTGTATAATAGCTAGAGTATAGCATATACAAAAATATAGTATACATGGATTTCATTTTCCATAAATTTATGAAAATTGAATATCTTAAATATCATTATAATATTTTAAAAATATATAAACACAATACCAATACTTTTGATTACATGTATGAACTTCATGCTGTAACATTTGGTAATAGTTTTGTTTTGAACCGTCATCATTCGACCGGTCGAGGACGATATCACGATAATTTGCATGGAGCCAGCAGCATTCGCTTCATTGCTGTTCGACCGCATTGTGCAAAATTCTGATCAAATCCAGTAAGGCTCAAGTTACAATCTTTAACAGATTAAACGACGAGCGGAGAAGAAAAACGTACATCTGACCTGAATTCTTGAATGTTGCCGCAGAGGATGACGGAATTCCAGAACCGTGACCAGCAATTGAGCAAGATTGACACCGGTGCTGCCAGTAACCGTAAACTTGTCCTTTCACCTAATGTAATATGAATACAACAGCAAATGTAGCTAGAAACGTGCTAAATAAAAGACGAGGAAAAAAAGACTCCATTAATAGAATAAAGATAGTAAATTGATCTATGTAAACAAATTGCCATGTACAATATCAGATATTATAAATTGCACAATACATATAAGGAACTCGGTTATGTTTCCACACAAAGGTCATTCAATTAATGCAGTGTGAATTTTATTACTAAGCATAGCTAACTGAGTTAATTGCAAAGTTGTGACATTGAAGTATAATAATGGTTAAACTTGATGGTTGGCATCACTAATTACATAGATTAGAATGTCCAGCCACTACAATTGGAGGGGGGGAAAATTCGTATTTAGATCTCTCACAACTAACATATCAGTTTGAACTTGCTTCAATGAAGGTTTCCTTCATCTAACAGAATATAAGCTTTTTGTCTTCTTATCGTTCATACCAATCGCTCGCATCTTCCGCAAAAATGCAGCATGATGAAGTCGGCATTATTGTAAGTTTTAGCAAAAACTAACAACAATACTATTTTGTTTTTGAATAGTTTGGAGCGTCTAAATGGTACTATTTGTTCAGGAATTTTTTTAGTCTATCGACAACGCGCACACACTCTACATATAGCTATTTAAACTTGGATCTTCAATGGGTTCCTTTACGACGACAACAACAATCCATAAAAAGGGGATTATCAGGTTCTCATCAGTCATCATAACCTGTTTCATTTTTTCAAATGCAACTCTTCTCAGAAAACTGAACACGAATGCCAGGGTTCATGAGGATATACCTCGACAGACCAACACCAAAAAAAAATTTAAAAAATCTGCCATATATTATTCACTACCTCGTGACTTTTGTTGTTAAGGTAATTGCATGGAGCCAGCAGTATTCGCTTCATTGCTGTCAGACAGTGTAAGTATAAACTTCTCTTTGAAGGAAAGATGGTAACAAGCTGATGAAATTCATTAAGGCTCATCTTTAAAAGATTAGAAAAAATAGTGAAAAGGAAATTATGCATCTGACCTGAATTCAGAAATGTTCCCAGACAGGATGACAGAAATCTAGAAATGATCAAGCAAGGTAGCCACTGCATATTTACGTTGGTAGCTACCACTACAATAAATTTTGGTTGTTACAACAAAATTATTTATCATTAAAAGTACTAAATTTGTCACGATATATTTATTCTAATCAATTTTATTTGTTATCAAGTTTGTTAGAACAACCTTGTCATGTAAAATATATTGTGACAAAAGTGTGTTCGTTACTATTTAATAGTTTTTATTATAACAATGAAATTTCGTTACTATAATTAACTTATCACAATAAAAAAATTTGTCACTATCAATTAACTATTTCGTCACGAGAAGTATATTTTGTCATAATTAAGTTATATTTAAGCATCAAATATAAATGGTTTTTGTGACGAAAATACATAAGACAACAAAAATTATTTTGTCACAGTTGCTATTTCGTCACTAAATGTAAGTTACAGAGACAAAATATTGGTTAAAATAAAAATAATTATTTAATCACACAGAGTAAATTTCGTCACAATTAACTTAAATTATAAAATCAAACAAAAAAGTTTTCGTGACAAAAATATATATTACAATAAATTTTATTTTCTCACTACTTTTATTTCGTCACTAAATATTTTTTATAACTTTTTACTGTGACTAAATAATTTGTTACAATTTGTTATTGTGAAAGAATATTATTTGTCACAAATTTTTATAATGAGAAATTAATATTAGTTATAAATTGTTATTTTGATTAAATAAATTTGTCACTTTTTTTTTCTTTTGACAAAAATATTATGACGAAATAAATTTGACATAACTTTTTACTTTGATTAAATTTAACGTATTATTGTGACTAAATCATTTTGTTACAATTTGTTATTGTGAAAAAATATTACTTGTCATAATTTTTTATATTGAGAAATTAATATTTATGTGTTACTAAATTTATGTGTTCGCTTATACACTCAACAAAACCACTACCACCGTTAGAAAAGCAAAGTGCAAATTTTGTGCCAAAAACAAGTTTAATGATTATTTTATAATAATTTGAAATTTTTCAATATTATTTATGTTGTTTAATGATTATTTTATAACTTAAAAATTGATGATTAAAAATATATTTCAACATAATTTATTAGATTATCAAATTAAAGTAGATGATTAAATCTCAAAAGTAATAATAACAGAGGGACTAAATTATAATTTGACGAAATTTTATAAAACTTTCAGGTTTCATCTTCGTCACTTGAAGTAGGAACAGTTCCAACCATGACTGATCCAAACGTTGCCGAAATCAACAACCAAGCTTCTCGAGTAGGCAGACTTGACCGAGAGGCTTGAGTTTTACGGTACAAAGAGAAGAAAAAGAGCTGAAGATTCGAGAAGACAATCTGATTCCCAAAAGGCCTACGCCGAATCAAGGCCAAGAATCATAGGCCGGTTCGTAAAAAGAACGGAAATCGACATTGATGTCATCGACGACCACATGTTTAACTCCATGCCTTCTGCTTTTGCAGCGGCTTTCATGGCGGTAACAAAGTACGGCATCGTCACGTTGTACGAGTCAGATTAAGAGGAAGAAGAAGATTATGATTATGTATTATAGTTATTGAGTTTCAGAAAGTAGAATAATCCAATTCAGAGGCAATTGAAATTAATGGGAAGAACTATATATTAATGGAGTTTGTGTTAGCCATTTTTGTTTTGCAAGAAGATATTAGTTTCGTCTGAAGTTGATTTTAATATCTGAATAAAAGAAAGGGATGATTACGTATAAAAGGGTATGGGTTTCAAAAGTTGTTAGCCATTGTTCCAGAAACTTGATCATTGTTGTTGCTGAGGTGTTTTGAAAGTAGTTCATATCCCACATCGGTGGTTTTTGGGAATAAGGGGTAAAGAGAGTGTATAAAAGGGGGATGGTTTCAACAATTGAAAATTAATTTGTCTTCGAACTTGAATTGAGTTTAAAATCGAGCTCAAAATCGAGCTTAAATCGAGCTCAAAATCGAGCTTGAATCGAGTTTAAAATCGAGCTCAAAATCGAGTTTCAATCGATTTCGAGTCTTGAGTTTCAGTTAAGCTCTTGGTTTTTTTGAGTTCGAGCCTTTTCGAGTTCGAGTCGAGTTTCATTATTATCTTTCGAGTTCGAGTCTAGCTTGAAAATTTTAGGCTCGTTTACATCCCTACCCTTGAAGCCATAAATGTATGTATCGTTGTGGGCAAATGAGGGCTAATCAGAGCAAATGTGTTAAGTGTTAACTAAATTATCGCAAAAAATACCACAAAAACACTAATCTTTCATGGCGAGATTTTTTGTTTACCAATATTTTTTTAATTCAATTAAGTAACTTAAGAGATTAAGAGATTTTAAGGTATCGGGTTCGAATACCGCCAAGATGCCAGAGGAGTGGAGAGAGTCCAAGGTGATACCAATCTATAAGAATAAAGGAGATCCCCAACGTTTTGGTAACTACAGAGGTATTAAACTACTCAGTCATACCATGAAGCTATGGGAAAGGGTGATAGAGGCTAGGTTGAGACAAGTTACTAGGGTTTCGGAAAACCAATTTAGATTTATGCCAGACAGGTCTACCACAGAGGCGATTCATCTACTTCGATGACTCATGGAGAAATATAGGGAAAAGTCTAGAGATCTTCACATGGCGTTCATTGACCTTGAGAAGGCTTATGATAGCGTTCCCCGAGATACGATTTGGAAGACTTTGGAAACGAGACGGATCCCAACTGCTTATATCTGGGTGATTCGTGATATGTATTTTAGATCTACTACACACGTCAGGACTACAGTTGGCGACACAGAGGCATTCCCGGTGGAAATCGGACTCCACCAGGGGTCGGCTCTTAGTCCTTACATCTTCGCCTTGATTATGGACGACATCTATTGTGCGACACCAGACGGTGTACCATGGTGTATGCTTTTCACTGACGACATTGTCCTAGTTGCTGAAACAAAATCTGAGTTGAATAATAGACTGACACGTTCTAAGGATCAATATTGAAAAGACAGAGTATTTATGTTCAAACTTCAGTGGGGACCAAAACGATGAAGATGTAGAAGTATCCATAGAAAGACACGTTCTCCCCTCAAAGGATTGTTTCAAGTACCTAGGGTCTATGATACATAAAGATGGGGGTGTAGATGATGATGTAACACACCGTATAAAGGCGGGATGGTTAAAGTGGAGGGCTGCTACTGGAGTTTTGTATGACAATAAGGTGCCTCTAAAACTTAAGGGAAAATTTTATAGAATGGCAATAAGACCAGCGTTGTTGTATGGATCAGAATGTTGGGCAACCAAGAAGGATCATGTAAGGAGGATAGAGGCTGCAGAAATGAGAATGCTTCGATGGACATGCGGTAGGACTCTGTGGGATATGACAATAAACTCTACTATTAGGATATCCTTGGGGGTGGTGCCTGTTTCTGAAAAATTGAGGGAGGGAAGACTACGGTGGTTTGGGCATGTCCTTAGGCGACTACCGTCGGATGCGGTCAGGAGGGTAGAGTCGATTACAGTCGACGGTGCCAGAAGGAGAGGACGACCAAGGCGGAAGTGGGAAGACTGCTTGAGATCTGATTTGATGGATTTAGCCCTTACCGAGGACATGACCTCTAATAGGAAAGTATGGAGACTAAAGACTAGGGTAGTCGAGTAGTGTGGGTCACATCTCTAGGGTGTGTCATTTTTGTCTTCTTTTAATGCATTTGTAGTAATTTCCATGAATTCTACTTTTTATACGTTTCTGTTATTGGTATTTATGAAGGCTTAGAATTGGGCTTGCTATCGTGGACTTCTGTGTAATATTCCCTTCACTTTTAAATTTAGTCGGTCTTACGTTTCTGTCTATATGCAGAGATTTTTTTCGCAGGGATTTATTTGCAGGGATTACTTCCCATTTCAAACGCACATATAATATTAATGATATTTATGACTGCATATGAATATTGTTCAACTATGTATTTATGTATTTATTTATACATGCTTTGCATTTTATCTATATTTTTAATTTTCTGACTGCCGGAGGTCTTCCACGGAAGCTACTCTCAACCTGGCGTTGGGGGCAGCCTACTACCCTACCTCCCCCCTTACCCCATTGCATATGGGAATTGGGTTTTGTTGTTGTTGTTGTTGTTGATTCATTGTAAAATGGTCGAGAATAATTAAAGATATACTAATTTATATTCACGTTAAATTTATTAAAAATATGTTATTTAATTCACGATTTATTAATTTTTGATCCGACCACATTAAAGTTGGCTAATCGATTTATCTTAATCAATGTTTAAATGATTTTGTTATAATACAATAACACTTATTTATCACTGTTTTGTAATAATTCAATAAATTTAATGGTTATTTTGTAACTTCAAAAAACTTCTGTGACCAAAAAGATTAATTTGATATAGTTTAGTGACCATTATTTGTGTTTTACCCAATATTAAAGGGAATAAAAATGACTTTAATGAAAATTCTAAAAAGAAAAGGAACTAATAGCGGCAATTTTATCAAAAGTTCCGACATTTCCTAATCCAAATCCTTTATTCTTTTCATTTTTTCATATTTGCTTCAGCTTTATTGGGGTCCCTCCCCTAACGCCTGCATTTCAATTTTCTTCCAAGAACTTCCTTTTTAGCTATTTCAGTAAATTAATTCCTTTTATTTTATTATTAAAATATATATTTTTAAAAATATTTCATCAGATCGAAACCGTTCTTTTTCTTTTAATTTCTATAAAACCCAAAGCAGAAACAGAAAAAGAAAAGAAAAGAAAAAAATTGAGGCAGAGGCTCAGTTGTATATCCCAAAAACAATCTTGACAGTTGTGTTTTTTTTGTTCAAAGCTTTGTTGTTGTAACAAGTTAACAACCTTAAGTTGTGTTGTAAGAATTTCTTTTTAATGATTTTGTTTTTTTGGTAAAACTGTGATTTTTGCCATTTCTATGGTGTGATATTTGCAGTGGTTCTGTTTCTTCTAACAAAAATTCGAAACGGGTTTTATCTTTTTGTTATCTTTTTCGATTCACTATTTTTTTTTAAATTCTCCGTTTCCTTTGTTTTTTGTTCTCTTCAAAAGCATAGGATTTTTCGATCTTCTTTTTCAAAAAAAATCAAAGTGAATTTTGCGACGGAATAAGTTTGATTTTTTAAGAAAAAAGTTTACTTTTTAGTTTTTCCCGCGAAAATGATGTTATCGGCCCCCGACGGCTTTAATGAAAAGTTCGCTCGAAGAAATGTTAGAGGCTCTCCGGCGGCGAGACGAGGAGGAGAAGCCTAAAGACTTACCGCCGACTTTACCGTCGCGCCCAACGTCCAAGGCCAGACTTCCCTCAGCCCGCCGGTCCCTTCCGACGAACTTCAAAGTCATTCTCAGCGTCGAAAATGGCAGCGGCGGTGGCTTAAGTAAATTGGAAGGGAGAGAGGAAACTGAAAGAAATGAAGAGGAGTTAGGAGAGAAGAGAGATGGTTCTGGGAGCCAAAAAATGAGGAAAGATGTGAATGTGGGTTCACCTTATTATTTAGTGCAACGGAAGAAAGGGGAAGATAAGGTTTCTGATGTCGGAGCTGACGTGAAGGAAATTGGAAAAGGGAAGACGAACTGGAAGGTAAATGATACTATTGAGTATTTTATTAATAAAATCAGTGTTAAGTTGAAACTGTTCCTTCTTCTTCTTTATTGGATCGATTTGTTTTATGAGCTAGACATCCATGTTTCAATACCATTTAGGAACTATTTAATAATTCCAGGGGAAATTTTATTAAAAAAATTGTTTTCTGGCTTTTGTTTAACTCGGATCGATTTTGATTATTTCTATTTCTTACCCTTAGGGCTAATATCTGATGCATACATCTTTTTTCCATTTTTCTTTGCCCTTTGAGTTGATGCATGCATTGGATTAGTAGTCATGGGGGAAATCTGTGATCTTTCATGGAATGAGAACCTACCGTATAGTTTAGCCTTTGTTATTTTTCTAATACTTTGATGAAATTGACTTGGGAGCAGGGTTTCAAATCGTTGTCGTATTTTTGGTTATTTCGGATTTACCGTGATTACAGCCGTTGCGATCGCTATTGCGGTCGTCGTGGGTAACTCGGACAGCGGCGAAACCACTATATCGCGGCCAAAATCACGGTAACTAATCGTTTTTTGAAACCCTGCTTGGGAGTGCTATGCTAGAAATTGTAGTTGATACGAAATTTAGATTGCCACTTAAGTTTTCTTTTGTTGAAACATAAAAAAGGAAGCATCACCTTGTACATGTGTTTATCTTCTGTGAAAATGATTTAAGTAAATCTAATTTGTTGAGAGAGGATTTGGTTACAGAAACTTCGTGTTTGGTTCCGGCAACCGAAAGGGGTATGGGAATCTGGAGCTATACAATCTACATCAGGAGAGGAATCTTTTGTCTCACTTTCTAATGGAAATGTAATTTCATATGTGATTTGATTTTTTAAATTATATAACGAAGCCTTCAATTTTCCTTTCTGCGGGTTTTCATTTAGGTTTACATTGTATTGTTGGTATAAGTTGTAAAAGTATCAGCCAGCGATCTCTTACCTGCAAACCCAGAAATTTTGGAGGGTGTGAATGATCTCGTACAGCTTGGTTACTTAAACGAGCCGTCAATTCTTCACAATCTTAAGTACAGATATTGCTGTGATATGATATATGTAAGAATGATATTATCCTTACTCGTGTACTAATGAGGATTATCTCTGCTACCAAGATTCATTTATACCTATTTTTTTCCTTTTTGTAGAGTAAAGCATGTCCACTTTTGATTGCAGTCAACCCGTAAAAACACGTCCCAGTTTATGGGAAAGATTTTGTCATGGGTTATAGAGAGAAAGCTACAAACATCCCTCATGTTTTTGCTATAGCAGATACTGCATATAATGAGATGATGAATGGTTAGCATAAACAAGTGATAATTTGCTTGTGATGTTATAGTAGTGTTTTTTCGAAACTCTATTCATTGTCTGTTGTTAAAATTTTACAGGTGGAGTCAATCAGTCTATAATCATAAGGTCTGTTGGATATTTAATACTTGTCTTAGGATATGATAGTATATTACTGTGGTTCTTTAAGCCCATTATTCGTTTTATGACCTATGGAATAACATAAAGTTATGTTGTAGTGGGGAAAGTGGTGCTGGGAAAACTGAGACAGTAAAATTTACAATGCAGTACCTATCTGCCCTTGGAGGTAGCAATGGTGGGATAGAGTCGAAAATCCTTGAGACTCATTTTATACTTGAAGCATTTGGGAATGCAAAGACATCTAGGAATGACAATTCTACCCGATTTGTGAGTACTTCTTTTCTCACTCGTTCATTTTTTCACTGTTATATATTGAAGGCAAATCTATATAAACTTATTTCCAGGTTGGTTTGTGTGCATAACATTTGCTATAACTCAGAAAAATATGACTTGTTTATTACTCTGTTCTGGTGCAGGGCAAACTTTCTAAAATTCATTTTACCAAGTTGGGGAAGATATCAGGTCCCAGCATCCAAACTTGTAAGCTTGTTGAATTTGAAAATTTTCTGTTTTTACTTTGCAGTAATAAAATGACATAGATTAATCCTGGTTACTGACTTTATTTTTATGCTAATGTTGATTTATCAACTACAATCCTGGATAGTTCTTCTGGAAAAGGTGAGTTCCTGACTAATTTAAAGTTCATATTATCTTTGTTATCATGTATAATATCTGATGTGGATCTTTTTGATGTCACCTTTGAGCAGTCGAGAGTAGTTCATGTGGCTGCTGGTGAACGGTCTTACCATATTTTTTATCAATTTTGTGCTGGTGCTCCACCGGCTCTAAGGGGTACTTTTTCATTTTACAACATTTCACAATCAATGCTAGTGCAGAAAAGTTGTGGTCTTGAAATGATAAATGATATTGTTTACAAGTTCTTCATTTTATTTACTTGAATCTGTGAAATATATTTATGATCCTTTGAATTATGACTTTGCAGAGAGACTAAATATTAAAACGACTAAGGAGTACAACTATCTTATCCAGAGTGACAACTTGGTGATTAATGGTGTTGATGATACTCAGAAATTCCATAAGCTTGTGGTAACTCAAAAGATTAGACTTTAATGTGACCATAATAGTGTATCCATTCTTCCCTTCATCTTTTAAGCAATAGTTTGCTCATTTCTACAGGAAGCCTTGGACATTGCTCAAATTTGCAAAGAACGGCAAGAGCAAGCATTTGCAATGCTTGCTGCAGTATTATGGTTGGGAAATATATCATTTCAATTAATTGACAATGAACATCATGTGGAGGCATTAGCTGACGAAGGTAATAATGTGGGATTTAGCTTTGCATACGTCATTTTTTTTCCTTGTATTTTTTCTTCCAGTAGAGAGAAACTGGATACCTTCTTTGTTGTAGCATTTTTTAAGGAACTGAATTTAATTTGCATAAGCGTTGCATAAAACAAGGAATATAATGCATGTATGTAGCCTTTTGTTTCACTTGTGAGTTGAAGTGGATTTTTTTCCTTGTCATAGCTTTAACCAGTGCTGCCAGGTTGATGGGTTGTGCACCTCATGAGTTGATGCAAGCTTTATCTACCCATAGAATCCGAGCTGCCAAGGATAATATTGCTAAGAAATCGACATTTCAACAGGTTCCTCTTGTATTTGATAGCAAAATTATTCTTCCTCTATCATCTCACAAGTCAATTCTATGTTTGCTGTGATGCACACATTAACAACATGATAATATGTTGGTTATAACTTGTAATATAGGCAATTGACACGAGAGATGCGTTAGCAAAATTCATCTATGCAAGCTTGTTTGACTGGCTCGTGGAACAAATCAACAAGTCTCTTGCAGGTGGTAAAAGATATGTAGACAGGTCCATAAGCATCCTTGATATTTATGGGTTTGAGTCATTCAAGGTAAGTAGTTCTAATCAGCTATTTAGATATTTTTATTGTGCAGAAGTTTTTTCAACATATGATTTCTCTTCCGACTTGCAGAAGAATAGCTTTGAACAGTTTTGTATAAATTATACAAATGAGAGGTTGCAACAACATTTCAACCAGCACCTATTTAAGCTTGAGCAAGAGGTAAGCAACTCAAATTTTAAACTGGCTTTCCAATTCTCAGCCCTTTTTTACTTGGCATGCAAATTAATTTTCAGTAGTCAAAGTTCCAAGTGATCTGGCTCTCGGCTGTTGATTCTTATCTATGGATTTGGTTTCCCTTCACTCAAATTATTATTTTGATCAACATCTCATCTTTCATGTATTTCAGGTGTATGAGTTGGATGTGATTGTGTTATAGTTTGAGGTAAATAGAAGAGAAATCGAGAAAGTAGATAATAGGAATATAGAGAATTTGGAGAGATTTCAGAGAAAGAAATTCGCGTTCATTCATAACATGAGAGAAATACATCCTCACAGCTTGTTTTTATTTAGTTACAATATACCAGAATCTTAAGGATGCCAGCTGGCTGTCCTTTGTAACTGAATCTAACAATTTCATGCTTTCCTCATTTGTTTTGCATATATAGGTTACTGGGCTCAGATATAATAATTGCCTTGGGCCGCTCCTGCTGTATCCAATCCACTCCCTGATAATCTGCTCCAGAGGGTAAGTTCACTTCATTCTCCTCACGTGCCATAATCCTCAATCCTTTATTCTCAATCCCTAACCCTCGTCTCATTTCCCCCAATTCTCCCTTACTCTCTTCGTGTTCTCGCCCCTCTCCTCCCACCATGACAATACCCACCCCTCGAGATGATCCTTGTCCCCAAGGATCAAAAGACGGAAACTGACCACGGAGTACTGAGTAATCTTCCCAAGTGTCATGCGAAGCGTCCAGGTTAGTCCATCGAACGAGTAACTGAGTAACTGGCCTGTTGTTCCGATTAATAATTCTTCTGCCCAAAACTTGACTTGGTTCTAAGCGAAACTGACCATCTTCATCTACCACAGGAGGCTCTGTCGAAGATACTGCTGCTGGCCCAATATGCCTCTTCAACATACTGATATGAAAGACTGGGTGTAACCGAGAGGTCTCTGGTAATTCTAGCTTATACGCGACTTCTCCTATTCTTTCAATAATTTTGTAGGGCTCATAAAACTTAGCTGCTAACTTCAGATTTTTCTCAGGGCAAGGGATGTTTGACGATAAGGTTGCAGCTTCAGGTAAACCTTATCTCCTACTGCAAAATTTCTTTATGTATGATTTTTATCTGTCTGTTGCTTCATTCGATTAGCAGCTTGTTCAAGTTGTTTAACCATTTGCCTGATTTCTTCCTTGCTTTTCATAATTTCTCCCACAGCCTGCATTGTAGCTTCTGGTTTCCAAACCATTGTAGGAGGCTTATAACCATAAGACCCTGAAAAGGTGTTAGGTTTAAGGCTGTGTGATAGGTAGTATTATACCACCATTCAGCATGAGCCAACCACTTAGCCCACTGTTTAGGTTGTAAAAAACATAGGCCTCTTAAATATTGCTCAAGACATTGATTAACCCTCTCTGTTTGACCATCCGTTTCAAGATGGTAAGCAGTACTGAATAGGGTTGTAGTACCCAACTGCTTCATTAGTTCTCTCCAAAAGAGACTAGTGAATGTTTTATCCCTATTTGAAATAGCCAATTTAGGCTGACCATGGAGCTTGTAGACATTGTCTAGATAAAGCTTAGCAACCTCAGCTGCAGTGTAGGGATGAGACAATGCCATAAAATGGCTGTATTTAGTGAACTTATCCACCACAACTAGAATAAAATTTTTCCTTAATGGAGTAGGTAACCCATCAATAAAGTCCATAATAACCACTTCCCAAGCTTGTTGAGGGATAGGTAAGGGTTGTACCAGTCCTGGTTTAGGTACATGCTCTACCTTGGTCTGTTGGCAGACTGTACAATATCTGATATATGTAGCTACCATACCTTTAAGCCCAGATCCTCCCATTGCCTAGACAAGGCATCTGCCACCATATTGGACTTGCCCTTTCTATAATGAATAGAGTAATCAAGCCCTAGTAATTTAGTCAGCCCTTTTTTCTGAATTGTGGTGGTCAGTTTCTGCTCCAATAGATACTTTAGAGGCTCATGATCAGTTTTAATAATAAAAGGCTTACTTTCTAAATAACGTCTCCACTTAGAAACTGCTAATAAAATAGCAAGATACTCACTTTCATAAATGGAGAGGGCAACATGTCGAGGATTGAGAGCCCTACTTAGATAAGCAATAGGCCTGCCTTCTTGAGATAGCACAGCACCAATGCCTCCTGAACTTGTATCAGTTTCCAAACAGAAACTCTTAGTGAAATCAGGTAAAGCTAAAACAAGAGCAACACACATAGCCTGTTTTAGGTTGTCAAAAGCAGTCAAAGTTGCAGAAGACCAATGAAAACTGTCCTTAGTAAGCATTTGAGTCAATGGCTTACTTATGGAACCATAGTTTTAATAAACTGCCTATAATAGCTAGTTAAGCCTAAAAATCAACGCAAAGACTTTAAAGATTTAGGAAGAGGCCAATTCTTCATGGCTTCTATCTTAGTAGGATCTGTTGCAACCCTTGCTGTTGAAATAACATGACCCAAGTACTCCACTTGGGTCTGTCCAAAAAAACACTTGGACAGTTTTGCAAATAATTGATTGGCTTTCAAAACCTCCAAAACTGATTGCAAATGAGTAATATGTTCAGCCATAGAATTACTGTAGACTAGTATATCATCAAAGAACACCAAAACAAACTTTCTAAGAAATGATTTAAACAAATCATTCATTAATGGATCGAAAAGCACAATACACAAGTAAGTAATAAAAGAAATGGAGAGAGTGAGAGAGCAGATATTCTGATGGCAAAGACGGAGAGGTTCATGGAGGGGGTACTTGGTCTGCGTTCGTTGATAACCTTAGTAGAAGAGTGAACAGAAGAACATTAGGGGAACATTTTAGTTATCATGGAAAAGTTATTAGGGTGTTTATTCCTTTTATTAACAACAGACCAAAATACAAGGATTGTACGTTTGCATTTGTCCATTTTGCTAGCAGGAAGGATCTGTGCAATGCGGTGAAGAAGATGAATAAGGTCAGGATCGACGGGATGATTATTTCTATTTCAGTAGCTAAATATGACAAGTTAGCTAGGATGAAGAAACATGAAGGGAATACTGAGGAAGGCTTCAAAAGGGTAGATAGAGGAGAGTGGAAGGGCAAACGAATGGCTTCTCCAGTACAAGTGAAAGAGAAAATGGAATGAATGAACAAGTTCCATGATGGAAGAACTTATAGAGACACTGTGGTTGTGGTGAAGAAAGTTCCAGAAGGTCTTCGAGTTAGCAATCAAAGGAATACAAAGGAAGAGAATAAATCTTTGGATGTATTTATCCCGATGGAAGAGAGATTATGGTTGAAATCTTCACTTACTGGCATTTGCAAAGATATTTTTGAAGTAGAATTTGTACAGAAAGCCTTACGAAATGAGGGCTTCAAAGTTAAAGTGATAAGGTGGGGATGTGCGAAGAATGCGTGTCTGGTGGTGTTTCAGTCGGTTGATGAGAGAAGAATTGCAATGGAAGAAAAATGGGAAGCTTTAACATTCTGGTTTGATATATTGGAGCCAGTGGTAGAGGAGGGGGGTATCCCATTAGCTTATTGTGCGATTTCAATTATTGGTGTCCCATTAAATTGTTGGTCGGTCCCGTTCTTTTCTAGCTTAGCATCCAGATGGGGCAAGGTTGTAAAAATCCAAGATCAAACTGCACACAGAGTGGACTGCAGAGTGGCGCAACTGCTACTAAGGGTTGAGAGTCCATTTGACATTCCAGAACAAACCAGCATCACTACGTATGGGAGAAAATTCATGATTAAAATTAAAGTTGATGGTGCTGAGGATTTTTTCCCAGAATTAATAGATATGGAGGTAGAAGAAGCTGCTGAGGAACCATGGGAGGAAAACTCCTCGGATTGGAGCAATGAAGACGTGCAGAAACGACAAGAAGAGCAGGAGGGAGTACAGGAGTTGTCAGTACCCCAAAATAAGATTGAGTATTGGGTTAGAAGTCAACAAGGCAAAATCACAACTACCGAGGGTGGTTTGAATTTAAACATAGCTAGGAAAAATACATTTGACTTGTGCAAAGAAGTGACAGAAGTAGATGATGTCTCTACACAGCGGGAAAAGTCAGAAGAAGTTAATGAAGGGAGAGAAAATGAGAAAAGTTTGGGAGGTGTTTTTATAGAGCAGGATATAGTTGATTGCGAAAATGGGCTTATTAGGAGCCCGATTTTAAATTCCAGGAGTGGGCTGGAGCTAGAGGAGGAGAGATTAAGCAAGGGTTGCTGTTTCGAAATAACAGAAAATAATGTTGTGCAATGTCAAACTCCTGTGCAAGTGGGAACTGTTTCCCTGACCTCCCAAAGAAATTCGGGGACTGTATCTGGGAGTAGATTAAGAAGGGGCAAATACAAACATGTTTATTCAAGATCTAGGTCGAGGGGAAATAGGAGTTGTTTAGGTACAAGTTCGGATTATGTACATATCAACGAGGAGGAGGATTGGGCAGAGGCATTGGAGAGATGGAATGTTAGTAAATTGTTAGGGGTCACATTTAGAGGGGGAAACAAGCTTTTATGAACAGATCAATTCCATTGATTAAGGAGAGAGGAGTACATGGGGGAAATTAAGGGGTGATGGTTTCTAAGGTTATGATAGGATATAGATGATTAGTTGGAATTTACTGACTTGGAATATTAGAGGTTTGGGTAGGAGGATAAAGGCTAGAGCTGTAAGGAGGGTTGTTGATGAGAGAAAGCCTTTAATTTTTTTCATTCAGGAATCGAAAAAGGAAGTGTTGACCCTGTCGGTAGTGAGGAAAATGTGAGGTAATTTGTTGACATCTTCGGTTATTTCAGAAGCTGAAGGTTCTGCTAGAGGTTTGATTACTTTATGGAATGAAAAAGAGTGTAAGGTTATAGAGGAGGTCATTCATAGGAGATATGTAGCAGTTAAGGGTATTATTGATGAGTCACAAGGAGCTTGTTGGTTCATAAATGTATATGGTCCAAGTGTGGATTCAGAAAAGGAGGCGTTTTTTGGGGAGTTGTTATCATTCTTAGAGAATATAGACTGTCCAATGTGTCTCGGAGGAGACTTCAATGTGGTAATGTCATAGGAAGAGAAGATCGGAGGTGCAGTTAACTTAGCTACAATGTTTGCTTTCAAAGATTTTGTAAGCAAAGCTAATTTACTGGATTTGCCTCTGGTTGGAGGCCGATTTACATGGTGCAACAATAGAGATATCCCAACTTATGAGAGGCTATATCGATTCCTAGTGGACCAAAGATTTCTATCTTTGTTCCTTATGATAACTCAAAGACTCCTAGAAAGGTATGTTTCTTACCATAATAGCATCTTGCTAGAAAATAGGGGCTGGAATTGGGGTCATAAACCGTTCAAATTGTTTAATTATGTCTTGGAAGAGGATGGGTTTTGTAAGATGATGGAGGGAGAACTTGTCAAGCTTTGTGATGTGGAGAATAGGCAACCAATCTATAGTGTACTAAAAAGAGTGCAGGAAGCAGTGAAGAAATGGTCTGGGAAGGGATATCTTGAGATCCCTGGGAGAATAAATAGGTTGGAAAAAGAAATTCAGATGATGGAACTTCATTTGCAACAAGGTCTCTCCATGGTGTCTATGAAGAACCTAGTGGAAGCAAAGAAAGAGCTGTGGGACTTGTATAAAAAAGATGAACTGACTTGGTTTCAAAAGTCAAGATTGAAGTGGAATTTGAATGGGGATAAGAACACTAGATTTTTCCACCAATGTGCAAGAGGTAGAGGAAGGAGAAATAGTATCAAATCCATCAAAGTTGATAATGAAGACATTTCAGATCCAAAACTAATTAAAGCTTCGGTGGTGCACTTTTTTAAGGGGTTGTTAAACCAGGAAAATACATTGGAAGTTGAGGAATTGGACTTGGACTTTTTAAAGCTCTCGAATCAGCAGAGTATGGCCCTCGAGAAGCCTTTCTTTGAAGAGGAAATTTGGGGTGTAATCATTAATTCGGATAGTAACAAAGCACCTGGCCCTGATGGACTGAATTTAGGCTTTTTTAAGAAGTTCTGGCCAAGTCTAAAGGAAGTTTTGCTGTTGTTTTTTAAGGAATTTTATGAGGGAAAGGAATGGGACATGGAAACTAATCACTATTTCCTCTCTCTTATTCCAAAGAGGGACAATCCGGAGGGACTTGAAGACTTTAGACCTATTAGCCTTGTTGGGGGTTTCTACAAAATTCTTTCAAAAGTTCTAGCTAGAAGGTTAAGCTTGTGCATTAATGATGTTATTAGTCCATCACAATTCGCATTTATTCCGGGGATACACATTTTAGATTGTTCGTTTATAGCAAATGAAGGCATCGATTGTTGGATGAAAAAGGATTGAAGGGAGTTATCTTTAAGGTGGACTTCAAAGAGCTTTTGATTCGGTTGATTGGAGAATCTTGCTGAAAATAATGAGTAAAATGGGGTTTGGAGCTAGATGGAGTTCTTGGATTTATAAATGTGTTTCAACAGCTTCAATTTCATCTTGGTAAATGGCACCCTACGGAAAAAATCACATTACTAGAGGTCTAAGGCAGGGCTGCTCGTTATCCCCTTTGTTGTTCAATTTGGGAGGGGAATTGCTACATTTAATGTTGGTGAAAGCAATGAACAAGGGGCTTTTTTCGGGTTTTAAATTAGGCTCTAATGATCGTTCTTTCATGTTATCTCATTTGCAATTCGCGGATGACTTAATAATTTTTAGTAAGGCTTCTAGTCATGATTTGGTGAATATTAGGAGGGTGCTTCTAATTTATGAATTGCTGGTGGGTTTGAAGTTGAATTTGTCCAAGAGCAAAATTTTTGGAATTAACGTGGGAGATGAGGAGTTAGTTTCATGGGCAAAGGAAATAGGGTGCGTAAAGGGAGTTTTTCCATCGGAGTACTTAGGTCTTCCATTGGGGGCCAAGAGGAATTCTTTTCCCTATGGGAACAGGTTGTACAAAAATTTTATAAGAGTTTGGCTGGTGGAAGGCCAAGTCTTTATCTCTGGCGGGAAGGGCTGTCTTGGTCAAATCCGTGTTGTGCTCTCTTCCAATTTACTACCTTTCTATTTTTCGGATCCCTATTAGAGTTCTCAACAAATTAAACTCTATCATGGCATCGTTTTTATGGGGGGGAGCATCAGAGAAAAAGAACATTCATTGGATCAAGTGGGATTTGGTGTGTAAGCCAAAGAAGTTGGGGGGTTTAGGAATCCTGAATCTGTTGTTATTAAACAGGGCTCTTTTGGGGAAATGGGTGTGGAAATTTGCTGCAGAGAAAAATTCTTGGTGGAAATCTATTGTGTGTTGTGTTTACAATATGGATCCTAATTCTTTAATGATCCGGAATACTTGGACAGCTCGTACTTCTTGGATTTGGAGAGGAGTTGTTAAGAACTTCTTTTCAAGTGATGCATTTGGGGACTGTTTTAGGAGAAATTTGTGTGTTAGAGCAGGAAATAGAGAAACAATTAAGTTTTAACATGATGTTTGGTTGGGTTCGGTTCCTCTTAAAGATAGGTTCCCAAGGTTATTTGCTCTCTCGAATAACAAAGAGGGTAAGGTTGCAGAATTCAGATTGCATAATAATTCGGGTTGGGTTTGGGATATTCAAACGAGAAGGAATTTGGTGGATTGGGAGGTTGAGCAGTGGCTACAAATTATCTCTCTATTGAATAACTCTTCTTTGTCCCTAGTACAGGAAGATTGTTGGATTTTGTTGATTTGAAATGGAGAGGGATGTTTTAGGAGTAGCACCACCATGCGTGGAATCTTTTGTTTGGCAACTTGCTCATCATAGAGTTGCGGTGAAAGAGGAACTGCTGAAGAGAGGAGTTACTGGGGTTGAAGACTCTGTCTGCCCTATGTGCAGGAAGTACAATGAGTCTTTCGCTCATTTGTTTCTTCACTGCGAAGTGGTATGGGTTTTGTGGGCTAAGTTTTTAAAGTTATGGAATGTTTTCTTTGTGGTTCCTGGTTCATTGATGGATTTCTTAATGGCCTGGGATGACCTAGTGCCACGATCTCACATATGGAAGTTTATTCCAAGAGCAGTGTTGTGGTCTGTTTGGAAATGTAGGAATGAGGTGATTTTTCAGAAAAGGAAGGTTGATTCAGCGTTGTTGTTCTTCATTACACGTTTCAGAACTATTTCTTGGTTTGAAACATCAATTAAGGATGTTCAATTTCATTTCGACTCTCTGATGGGGGATTTAAAGCTAGCAGATCAACTTGGTAATCCGAATAAGAAGAATCTTCCTTCTTCTAGGTGGAGTCCTCCTCCGAAAGGTTTTTAAAAGTAAATGTTGATGGTGCAGTGGTTAAAGATTGAGATAAGGGTGGAATAGGTGGCTCGATTCTACTTGTAGATGTTCCCGAACTCGAGTAGCTCGGTATCTACATAAACATAATTTTTAAGATGATCATCAGATGTCTATGTCTTGCAATTAAGCTTAATAGCTTACTAATTTAAAGAATTTATAGCTTATCTGCTTTCTTTTTTCTTCTTTTTTTCCATGGGGGAATCGGTTCCCCCCCCCCTGGGGTATCGATTCCCCTCAAGCAATCTGGAATTTCATATACGATGAGGGGGTATCGGTTCCCCCCCTGGGGGTACCGATTCCCCTCTAGCATTCTGGAAATTCATTTCATTGAGGGGTATCGGTTCCCTTGAATGGGTACCGATTCCCCTAACCCAGAAATCCTATTTTAGCCCGAAAATCATCTCATTTCAACTCAAACATACATATTTCAATCCCTTTACTACTCTTAGCTCTCACACTTACTTAAACTACTATTATCCATTAAATACCTCTAAAACTTAGAAATCTAATTCTCCATATAGCATTAAGAATCCAACCCAAATTCCAATATGTTCTAATTTGAATTCTAACCCCTCATACTTCTAATTAGCTTATTGACAAGTCAAAAATCTGATTCAAACATCAAAAACTCATCCATATCAAAATTTCATCTAAAAACTCATTTCCAAATCCTTCTCTAAATCACTTATCTTGTTGTTTTAATGTCATAAGCTTTCCTTTAGCTTATATAACATCCAATCTTTCATTTCCAATCTTAAAAATCAAAGAAACTACCAAGTTCAGATTCTTACCTTTAATTGCAAGCCACACGCTGAGAGAAGGAAGAGAAGAAAATAAGGAAGAATGAAGAAGAAATGGGAGGTTCTGGAACCTAAAATCACACGTGGGTATCATATATACCCATAACATTTTATTTAATTAAAATTTTCCTTACCAATGACCATTTGGTCCTCACCTTAATCTCATATTACCAACCTTTATTTTTAAACTATATAATTGTTCTACTTTAATCACCAAATGTTGAAACTTTGCAAATTAATCACTAACCCGGCATGGAGGATGTTACAGTAATCCTTTAGGCTCATCAAAACAGAGCTATATCTTTTTAAAAGAGGTTTGAGAAATGTAGAACTGACTTAGGAATTTCAGTCATACTCAGCAAAACTACATGCCCCAAATAGTTGCCTCATGCTGTCATTTTTAATAAAGTAGCACCTGAAATCTACTGCAACAGCAGTGAAGGTTGTTGTCCCTGTATAACAATATTTTCACCTTGATGCTGAAAACTCATTGTCATTTGATTGAAGTCCATCAAAATTGGACTAAATAATTTCATCCAAAACCCCTAAAACCATATCACTGCCTCCCAATTTAAGGAGTCTAAAGTCATGTATGAAAGAGTGACCTTGCATCTGCCACTCCACCTTGTTGCATCTAGCTGAACTATAGAGCTGTTGGCCATTAGCTACTGTAATAGCTAAAGGATAGGGAGTTAGAACCTGAAATCCAGCATCAGCCCATTCTGGTGTCAAAAAGCTATGTGTACTTCCACTGTCAATCAAAATATTCAAAGGTCTGTCTTGTATTGTGCCTTGAATCCTCAAGGTATTATGACTAATGCAACCCGTAATAGCATTCATAGATATCTCTAAGTTTTCCTCTTCTTGTACTAACTGCTGGTCTGAATCAATAGGAACAGATTCTGTAGGAATAGGATTTTCCTCTTCAATCATCATATTGAGGTTTCTCGATTTATATTGATGGCCTGGCTGAAATTTTTCTCCACACTTAAAACAATGGTTGTTTTGTCTTCTGTAATCAATGAGTCTGTTTAGTATTGGAATTTGGTGAGGCTTTAATAAGTAGTGGAACTGAATTGGCTTGGGAATATTAATGGGGTTTGGGTAGGGTGGGCTTTTAAAGGAAGGTCTCACCCTTCTATTTTCAACTCCATAGACAACTCATAGAGCTTAGCTTGTTTGCATGCCTCAGATAAATTTTTAGGATCTAGAGCTTTCACTCTATGTTTGATGTCATCTCTAAGCCCACTTAAAAAGTGACACAAAGAAATCCTCACTCAAGGTAGGATTTTGTAATAACATGTGTGGTTGTAACTCCTCAAACCTTTCTTGATAGTCTTCAACAGATCCTTTTTGTGTAAGCTTAGTGAATTCCTCCACAATATCAGAAAAAGACCTATCACTGAATCTATGGCACAAATCAACTTTAAACTCATGCCAAGTTACATGATGCTTCTGCATAATATAGCCATCAAATCATATTTCTGCTTTTCCTGTAAGATACATAGTAGCCACTTTTATCCTTTGATCTACAGTAACATTGCATAAGGAAAAATACTTGAGACACTTCTGCAACCACCCCCTAGGATTTATCCCCTCAAAAATGGCAACTCTATTTGGGTCTATGCCACATAGTCCCTGAACTGCTAAATGAACCCCTTGCTCCCCTATTTTCAGTTTCCAATCCCAGCAAATAGGCCTATATTATTGTCATCCATCTAATTCTCAGGCCTAGAACTGTTCTTAAGTGCTAAACAAGCATCAGGCTTATCCTTCAAAATCCCAGGTTCATCCGTTTTATAAGAGAATCTGGATTTATCTTTAACTATAGTCACCATAACAAGATTTTTCTCCCCATTTTTAGAGCTATTAGGAGTATATACATGATCCCCTGCCGACTGCTCTTGTTCACCATTTCTGCCAGTTAAGATCTTCAGTATATCCTCCATATAACTGTGATTCGTGGTCATCCTTGCCTCGAGTGCAGTAATCCTGTTTTCTTGAGCCTCCCACCATTTAGGTGGATTAGTCTCATTCTGGCCCTGTTTCACCAAAGCAGTAAGGTCTTCAATCTGCTTCTGAATTCCAGCTAAATCAGTTTCTGCCATAAATTGATTCTTCTTTGGCATACCCTTAAAAAAGTTTTTGCCAGAATCTTAGCTTTGATTACCAATTGTTATAGTTTGAGGTAAATAAAAGAGAAATCGAGAAAGTAGATAATAGGAATAGAGAGATTTTAGAGAAAGAAATTCGTGTTCATTCATAACATGAGAGAAATACATCCTCACAGCTTGTTTTTATTTAGTTACAATATACCAGAATCTTAAGGATGCTAGCTGGCTGTCCTTTGTAACTGAATCTAACAATTTCATGCTTTCCTCATTTGTTTTGCAGATATAGGTTACTGGGCTCAGATATATAATTGCCTTGGGCCGCTCCTGTTGTATCCAATCCACTCCCTGATGATCTGCTCCAGAGGTAAGTTCACTTCATTCTCCTCACGTGCCATAATCCCCAATCCTTTATTCTCAATCCCTAACCTTCGTCTCATTTCCCCCATTTCTCCCTTACTCTCTTCGTGTTCTCGCCCTTCTCCTCCCACCATGACAGATTGACTGGACCAAAGTTGATTTTGAAGACAACCAAGAGTGCTTGGACTTATTTGAGAAGGTAATTTGGTTCAATTGTTTGTTTGTTAGTAATGTTCACTTGGAGTGTTTTAGGGGATTGCTGGGCTCTTTTTTATTTTTTTTATAGGAATAGGAGGTCTCATTAAAAACCTCCTTCATAGTTGCCTCTTAAGAAGAGGCAATTAGCGGAAGGAGGAAAAGAGTACCTCAATATATTAATAACCCAAAATTACATAGACTTTAATTACAACATCACCCGAAATAAGAGACTAAACATAACCATAAAAACACTAAAAGAACATTCAACCAATCCCCTCCTTAGCTAACTTATCAGCCTCCCAATTACAAGCCCTAGGGACCAGCCTAACCAAAATGTCCTTAGCCGAAATTAAATCCCCTATTTCCCCAACCAAAGAACACAAAACGATGGGGCATCAAAAGGCCTCAAAATCCAATCCACTGCTGTTTTACAATCACTCTCTAGAATAAGTTTACCCTTCAACACCCAACCCGAATTAAGAAACAAATCCATTCCTTCCTTAATAGCTTTCAACTCAGCAAGCAAAGGAGGACCTGGTCCCACAGCCTTAGAAATAGAAATCAAGATAGAGCCATTTCAGTACCTCCAATACCACACTGCAAGCCATCGCCTCTAACCACCCCATCCACATTGAATTTATAAAAATCAGGTGGAGGTGAAAACCAACACTGATCGTTCTTCCTCTTGTGAGATATAACTGCTAGTCTGTCTGCAAGCCGAGGATCCCCTACTAATAAATCAACATGGATATTAGCCTTAGGAAATTTGGTTAAAAACCTTTTTGCCAGCTTGAATCTGCATATGAAGAACATGTAAAGCTCTCAAAACTCCAGTTTTCGAAAACCACTAAATTCCTAGCCTTCCATAGTGACCACAAAACAACACCAGGGATAAATTTCCAAATAGAAGAAGAATCCTTTAAAACAGACCAGGAACAGAGTAAAGACATAGGATCTTTGGGCAGAACAATAGACACATCCCATATCATGAACCTATTCCATAACTCCCAGGCAACAGGACATAGAATGAAAAGATGTTGAATTGTTTCTTCCTCCTTTTTGCATAAAGGACATAATAAATCATCCATGGTAACACCTCTTGTTTGCAACTCCACTCTGACAGCTAATTTTTGATGAGATAGTTGCCATAAAAATGTTTCAACTTTCGGAGGAGCCAATCCCGTCCAAACCCATTTGTTCCACTGAAAATTCCCACCAGAACTACGTATAAGTGCTGATCTGCAGGCCTTCACTGAGAACAAACCATCTCCATTCCCTGACCACTAAACAATATTATCAATCAAAGTCATTAGAGTAATCCATTACTCCAATTCCCAATCGCATAAATTCCTCCTTAATCGTATATTCCAAACCCAACAATTGTTTTCATGACAACCAAAGTCCGCAACTAATCCCCTTTTATTAATCGATAAGGCATAAATCCTAGGGAATTGTTCTTTTAAAGTAAAATTATTAACCCAAACATCATTCCAGAATTCAATTGATCTACCATTCCCCACTTGAATTCTTGGTAAAGTAGTTGTCTTAGCTTTTGTGTTGATTCTTGGTCTTATATTCTATTGTCTTCCTTCTATTCTTACTAAATTTGTTGTCTTAGCTTCAGTGCTGATACTGGCTGAAGTTTTTATTTCCTTTTCATGTATGGTTGCGTTTGAAAGTTAAATGTTATTCTTCTTTTTCGGTGTTTATTTTGCAGAAACCATTGGGAATACTTTCTTTGCTGGATGAGGAATCAAATTTCCCCAATGCAACTGATTTTACCCGTGTTAATAAGTTGAAACAGCACCTGCATTCTAATTCTTACTTCAAAGGAGACAGAGGCAGGGCCTTTGGTGTTCGACATTTTGCAGGAGAGGTCAGTCGGTTTTCTTTTGAGGATTATAAAGATTTTCTTTCATTCAATTTTAAAGGAAGATAATCAAATCCTGAGATGCCATTAAGAAATTCTAAATTTTTTGAAAAGGCTGAATTTGTGTGTCTAGTTGATTCGAATGTTGAATGCCAAAAAGATGGTAATGTTCCAAGCATATATGAAATTACCGATTTTTGGAGTTCTGCCAGGTACTGTATGATACTAATGGCTTTCTGGAAAAGAACCGAGATCCCCTGGACTCGGGGTTGGTCCAGCTTCTATTATCCTGTAGTGGCCAATTGCCACAAGCATTTGCCAAAAAAATGCTTGATCAAACTCTGAAACCCGCAATTTCGTCAAACGCTCCAAAGCAAAGTGTTGGCGCGAAGTTCAAGGTATATTGCTTCCTTAATAGTTGTGATCCAAAATTTTCTGGTGGTTGTAATATAATTCAAACTGATCAATAAGACTGCAAAGCCTTTTACATTTCCCATCTCTACTGGAGAAACTTTCTTACATTAATGTCCATTACAAAGCATTCCAACATTTGCCAATCCTTAGAATGTAATATACTATTAGAATAGTTCTGGTTCTTGCATGTCTTTTTCTTGGGCATTTGATGTGAATTTACCTTTGAAATTTTTACATTCCTTTGGCAGTGCAGGGGTAGGTAATATAGTAGTAAGAACTAGGAATATTGGTGTATGCTGCACAATGGCATGCTTTGTGAATGTTTATATTTTTCTTCTGTACTGGCAGGGACAACTCTTCGAACTAATGAACCAGTTGGAGAATACAACACCTCACTTTATTCGCTGCATAAAACCAAACTGCAAGCAGTTCCCTGACATGTATGAAGAGGATCTTGTCCTGAAGCTGCTTAGATATTGTGGAGTCTTAGAGGTTGTTAAAATCTCAAGATCAGGATATCCTACTCGAATTACACATCAGGAGTTTGCAGAAAGGTAGCAGCTAAAACCGTTTGTAGTTTATAGCTTGTTTTTAAGTTTAAATTTGTTCTCTCTTCAGAATAGTTCTCATATATTCAAGCATTTCATAGGTATGGGTTCCTACTGTGGGAGACCTATGCATCTCGGGATCCATTAAGTATTTCAGTTGCTGTTCTAAAACAATTTAATGTCCTCCCTGATATGTATCAAATTGGCTATACCAAACTCTTTCTTCGAGCTGGACAGGTATGTTCTGTACCCTCGTCTTGTTTTTCATGTTTCTTTCAATTTTTGTGCTGTACTTTCTAATACCGATATATCTTTTCCCAAGACTTCCAGGACCTATATGACTCTATAGAAATTTTCTAGACCTATACTTTCAGTATCATTCTGTGACAAATAAAAGCCTGAAATATCTCTTGATGCTCAGAGCTGGACCTTAATGTACTGAGTTTTGGAAAATAGATATACCAACTTATTTCCTTCTGTTTATGGTTAAATACTGTATGTAATATTTTTTATTATGCTTTGATTGTCTGGCTGTGGCCGACATGCAGATTGGTGTGTTGGAGGATAGGAGAAAACAGGTGTTGCGAGGAGTAATTGGGGTTCAAAATACTTCCGCGTCACCGTTGCTTTTTCCGTGAGCTCAACAAAGGAGCAGAAAATATAGAATCATGTAAACAACTTCTTCCAAGCAAGATAACTTCTTACCGAGAGATTCTTTGATTGACTAATATTTCCTTTGCGATGCAGTTGTCTGTGGTCAAAGTATCAAAGGGAAGTGTGCTATTGACACAAATAGGTGCTCAGCATTTGCTTCTCAGCATTTGCTTCTCAGTTACTAGATGAGCAGTTGACATCAGTCATATATTTACAATCTGGTAAATCCCTTGTGTGCTAGCTGAATTTGTGGCTTTCAATTGTCGACTGTTTTCCTCCACTGCAGTAATCCGTGGTTGGTTGGCCAGGAGACATTTCAGTAACATACATGATTCGAAGCAGTTGAACTGTGAAAGCGTAAAATCTAGACGAAAGACTGGTAGGAAGCTTTCTGAGGCAAAGGTATTCCCCACGGTTGACATGGTAACATACTAGAGTTTCTTTACTTTACTTTTCTTTTAAAGATATTTTCCGAACCAGTTTTATTTTCTCTTAGTTGCATGATTCCGAGCATGTTTTACTTTCTTGATGTTCTCAAGGATTTACACGAACCCAATTTTTAGCTGACCAGGAGCAACAGATTCAAGTTGCATGATTCAAGTTGTACATTCTGCAATGGCCGAGCTTCAAAGGAGAGTACTCAAGGCAGAAGCAACTTTGGGGCAAAAAGAACAGGAAAACATCACTTTACGTGAGCAATTACAACAGTATGAGGCAAAGTGGTCGGAGTACGAGGCGAAGATGAAATCGATGGAGGACATGTGGCAAAAGCAAATGGCATCACTACAGGTGAATTTGCTTGTTAATATACATAAAACTATTTTGCATTAAGTGATTGTTGTTAAAGGACACAAAAGGTCCCCATAGTCGCTGCTAATGCATGTTTAATAATTTAATAACTTAGATGTATATTGACTTTGATTGCATTTATTGCAGACAAGTCTTGCTGCTGATAGTGCTGCTGGTCAGCTTGGAAGGGCTGGCATGGTATCACATCACCATTATGATTCTGAAGATGTGTCCATGGGATCTCTAACACCTTCTGTGGACGCTCCTGTTTGGGAAAGAGAGAATGATTCATTGAATGCAGTGGGGAATCTGCTAAAAGAGTTTGACCAGAAGAAACAAGCTTTTGACAATGACGCAAAATCTTTGGCTGAAACCGGAACGGCACAGCCAGCTTTTAATGTGAATCCTGATGATGAATTTCGAAGATTAAAACGCATGTTTGAGACATGGAAGAGAGATTTCAAGATGAGATTACAGTCAACAAAGGCAAGACTACATAAGCGTGGGCGTCAAGAATCAGACAAAACTCGAAGAAAATGGTGGGAGAAACTAACTTCAAGATCGTGATTGAGTCCCACCTTGAAGTGATCATCTTGATTAATCAGAGAGTTGTTGCCTAAATGATTACCTGCATCCCTTCTTAGGTACCGGTTACTTCACATTTTCAGCTACAAATATAAATGTAGGTCCTCCATGGCCAGTGAGGGAGATATCGTGCTTGTATATCTTACCAGTTTTTGTTACTCGTTGGGAGGAATCATCATGTGCAGAGACAAAATAGGAATTCATTGCGTCGAGACCGCTCTCTTCTTTAGTAGTTCGGTTTAGTTTATGTATATTCTGTTGTCAGTTATGTAAGCTTCAACCTTGTAGGTTTCTGTATATAGATAAAATGGTAATTGTTCATATGCTTTCCATAAATTACTGTCATAGAATCTGCAACTTCATTGTGTGCTCTCATCTCTGTTGAACCCTAAATCAAACTGGAACACGAAATTCATTGAATTCTTAACACATACAAGCAAAATACAGATTAAGTTCAATTGGGGGGGGGGGGCAGGTTCTATTCATTTACGATCCAGGTACAAACTTGGTGGCATAGACCCAAGCATTGTTGGCAACGGGATTATCAAGGTGGTCCAAGAGGTTTTCCAGGGGACCTTTTCCAGTAACAATGGCTTGGACAAAGAAACCGAACATAGAGAACATGGCTAGTCTGCCGTTCTTGATTTCTTTGACCTTAAGTTCGGCAAATGTGACAGGGTCATCAGCAAGGCCAAGAGGGTCAAAGTATTGGCCACCGGGTAAAGGTCATTGCCTTCTCCCACACCGGGGAGACCATTGATACGGAAACCTTCGACGAGCCCCATGAGGATGATCTGGAACCCGAGGACGGCGAGAATGCTTTGAGCATGGACGAGATTGGGGTTGCCGAGGTAGTCCAATCCACCTTCTGAGAAGATTTGAGCTCCAGCCTTGAACCATACTGGTTCCTTGAAGTCCACTCTAACCCATTTCTCAAGGACTTCTGGGGTGATGCAGCCTAGTGCTCCCAACATTGCCCATCTTCCATGGATCACCTAGGTAACAAAGGAACTCTTATTTGAATATACATAACATACCATTGGATTTAGCATTAAAGGAAGCACAAACAGGTTCAATAGCGAACAATGCTCACCTCAAGAGCTCTGTTCCTGGCAAAGGCCTCAGGGTCAGCTGACAAACCAGCAGTGTCCCATCCATAGTCACCGGGGAACTCTCCGTTCAAGTAGGATGGAATCTGAGCTGAAAAGGGTCCCAAGTACTTCACTCTGTCTGGTCCATACCACAGTTCATTTCCCTACACCCCAAATGCAGAATTCAGTATACAAGAGGAGAAAAGGGAAATTCCCCCCAAAGAACTTACCATTTTGTATTTGCCAATGCCAACAGAGACAACATCTCTGAGAGGGTTGGCGTTTTTGTTTTGGCCAAGAAATAGGGTTGGCCTAAGGACAGTTCCTGAGCTAAGCATTGAAGCCATTGCCTTGGTCGATTTTAGCTTTGACAAGGGAAATGCATGGAAAGGGAAGTTTTATATATAAAAGAAATATGTAGACAATAAGAAAGGAAGAAGAAATTGGTGGAGATGAAAGTAAGAGAGTAAGGGATTGTGGTGGGGACTAGGGACTGGGGAGGTTTCAGCTATCAGCCAATTAAAGGGCTGGAAAGGATTTGAAGTATCTTCAGCTTTTATCCTTATATCCATATATTCTATCTTTCTTTCTAAAACTGTTGGGAGTTATGGTTTGGGCTTTTGAGGGATATTTTGATCCTGCGACAAAATATGGATAAAGGGAAATTGTATTGGCTTTGGAGGAAGAACCGAAAAAAGTTGCGGTGAGCGTGGATCGAACACGCACCCTTCAGATCTTCAGTCTAACGCTCTCCCATCTGAGCTATCCAGCAAGTTGACCCTGCCGTTTGCTTTATTACATATTGAAAATAATTTCAGTCCATGAAATTATGTCACAATCCGACAAATCTAAACCCCCCAACACGAAGGGACATGATCAGACTCCGGTCATGGGGACACTAATTGTATTTCAGAAGCAGCATGTACCGAACGCCGAGTAAAAATGAGATAAACAGACAAAACAAAATATACATGCTAAGTTGACTGCAGAAAATTAAACTGCAAAAGAATGAATAGAACAATCACTAACCCGAGGTGAAGGCTTGTCGAATCTCCTTGCAATCTCTTCAGCATAATGGTCGTCGAAGTCATCATCATGCTTGTTCATGAACGTTTTGTAAACTAAAGAGTCATCAGATTTCCATCCCCGCTTAGACGAAGATCCTCTACCTCTTCCCCTAGGAGCTGCTCTCTTGCGTCCTTTACCTTGAACAATTTCATCATTTTCCTTCAAATATACGGAGCACTTTTTCAGATTGTATTTACATTACTTTTGAAATTGTGTCAAAATTAACTGAGTGAAAGGTATCTCATACCTAACTGTCGTCAGCCTCGTTAACTCCATGTTCTTCACTTGAAGCAGATTTGATGTAGATTTGATGTTCTCGTCGTCATCAGCATTAGCAACTGTGAACTGCAGCTGATGCAGCAACCGATACTGCAGATCTGCTGCATTAAGAAAATTAGACATGAAATTTTAGCTAGTGATGCAAATTTCCGTACTTTTAAGTTGCATGCCAACGGATTAGATCAAAATGTCACCTTTGAGAACGGTGAAACCCCATCGCAGAATCAAGAGTTGTCTGTTTTAACTTTTAAGCCACTAGAGCCTCTGCCCCTACCTCTGCCCTTTCCTCTAATAGAAGTTTAACCTTTAACAAGTTCTGGAGCATCACCAGATGATTGAGAAGCTGTCAATGACCCTTTCCGGCCTATATTGGCAGAGCTTAATATCTGTGTTGTATCTTCATCATCACTAAAGAAGGTTGCACTTCCTATTACATATCAACCTTAACAAGGGTTATTATGATTATTATTATTGGGTATTTACTCTTCTAAGCGTGATTAATTTGAAATTAAATGAATTGATGAGAGAGATGGAGAAAGGGAAAATAAATTGAGAATTTTATGGAATTGAAAAAAATTTGGGGCATTAATTGTAATGATAAAAAATTGTAATTGAAAAAATTAGAGGTCTCAATTATAAAAGTAAAAAAAATAAGATTGAAAAAAATAGGTGCCTTAATTATAAAAGTAAAAAGTACTATTGAAAAAATTAGGGGCCTTAGTTATAAAGGTAAAAAGTGAGATTAAAAAAACTAGGGCCTTTATTATAAAGGTAGAAAGTGAAATTAAAAAGAATTAGAGATATTAATTATAAAGGTAAAAAGTGAGATTGAAAAAAATGAGAGACCTTAATTATAAAGGTAAAATGTAAGATTGAAAAAAGTAGGGGTCCAATTATAAAGATAAATGTGAGATTACAAAAATTAAGGGTTTCACTTATAAAGATAGAAAATGAAATTTAAAAAAATTAGAGACATCAATTATAAAGATTAAAAAATAAGATTAAAAAATTAGAGACATCAATTATGAAGATTAAAAAATAAGATTAAAAAATTAGATAACCTGAACAATCCCTCTAGGTGTTCCCCAATTAACCCAACTATGATATTATATATATACGTTTTAAAAACTTTATTTATTCACAATTACATTAATAATTAAATGGCATGAGTATAGTATTTAAATGCAACAAGGCCCACCTTTCCACGTGTTTCCAGCCCAGCTAATTTTAATAGCCGTTGGAAATCTCCCAAAGTTTTAACGCGGTTTTGGTTAGTATATGTAGATGACATAAGAAACGTTGCCACGCTTTCTTCTACCCAACTCCATCCTCTCTGCAAATATGGCAATCCCCCTCCCATCACACACTTTCCCTCCCAATTCCCAATTCTTGAAAAACTAACCGTTCTTTTTCTACTTCAATTCCCTAATCTTTTTTTTCAATTCCCTTGTGTATCGATAGATTTATTTTCCAACAACATAGATTTAGGAAATCTTTCTGTTGAGTTTCAATAGATTCTTGAGCAATGAGTTCTGGTCGTTATGCGGCTTGCAGATATTTGAGCAGAAGATGTGGAAGACTGCATTCTC